GTTAAGGACTTCAGCAGAAAGAAAATCAGCAGAGAATCACAGATCTGTAAGGTACTTCAAAACACATACAATGATGGCTGTCAATGCAGGACTGAAACAAAGTGTGCACAATCTGAAGTGACGTGTGTGAGTGTGAGTGTGTGTGGTATTTTTAGCTGTCTGTATAAAAGATTGTTTGGATTGGAAACCAGGCCTCCAGCTGTGAGAATGGTAATATGCATGTATGAATGAGACCCACTCTCCTCCCATCCTCTAAACACACACACTCAAGACAGTTTCCCATTTACACCCTCCTCTATCCTTTTTGCAGAGCCTTGGCTTTTTTATTATTATATCATATTATAATTCATTTATCTTAAACCACTGCCTGTCATCTGTGCATATATAAGATTAATAAAACTGATTCAACACTGAATTTACAGAAATAGCCCTTCATTACCCTATTTCTACACTTACAGAAGAAACATTTTTAGCAACTAGTTTACAAATTCTCTTGTTTCATGATGTTTTCTCCCAATGTGTTTGAGATCCAAGCCCCATTTTCTTGTGCCCCATTTTTCTGTTGCTACAGTTCACTGAGTGACCTACTTTTAGCTTGAATTATCAGTAAAGACCATCACATTTTTGTACTAGACGGTCTTTGTATGAAATCAGGCTTTCAGGGAAATCTTTGAATAATCTCAAAGCCTCCATGAATGCTGACTAACACGACATATTAATGATTTTGGAAGCCTGGAAATGTCATTTTGCTCGTAAAACAAAGGACGGGGAATTTGCATTTTGAAAGGTGTCCCAGTTATTCTCGTTTGCATATGTCTTGGTTCTCGTCAGTTTCCTGATGTAATGGTTCTTAGTGCTGCACAATATTAATGATCAAGATGTTAATGCTGCTTGTGTAGAAGTGATATTAGTGATCAGACTTACAATTTACAAAAACACTTTAGATTTAGGAACACAATTAAGTTGCTTATTAGCATGCATATTACTAACTGTATATAGTATATATATTGTATAAAATAAATTTAAAATAATTAAACTCTTATATTTGTTCCCTAAGTGTTACCCAATTTTCACATGACAGATGATAAAAAAAAGAAATTGAAAGAGGAACTTAAGATCTTGACTGTGCTCTTTTGATTTCTTAACAGCCAGAATACCCTAGCAACCACATAGCGACATAAAGACACCATAGCATGTTTTGAATGGGCAGACATAATATTTATGTTATAATGTTATAATCTAAAATCAAAAACACATGTTCTTTATGGGCATTTATGCTTTGATATATGTTATAATCTGATATAATATAAATGCATGTTCTTTATTGGCTCTTATGCTTTGATAAGGTACCTTTAATAACGATGGAACCGTTCCATTGCACTAAAGTTTTTTTTTTCATTGTGGAAAAAGGTTCTTTAGATTATTAAAATGTTCTTCACGCTAAGAAAAAAAAAATTATTTTAGGAACTATTAACTAAAAAGATTATTTGGGGAACCTAAGGTCTTTGCACTGAGTCCGAAACTCTCGTCTGAAATTTTTGCACATAAAAAAAAAAAACGACCTCACGTTGTGTCAATCATGTTTACACACTGACTCTGAAACTTTCGTCTGTCATTAAAAAAATTTGGATCAGGCTTAGTTGCTTATTAGCATGCATATTACTAGCATATTGGCTATTTATTAATACGTATAAAGCATATTAATGACTTATTCTACAAACATGACCATATCCCTTTACCAATACTTAATCACAACTGTTTACACACTGACTCTGAAACTTTCGTCTGTCATTAAAAATTTTTGGATCAGGCTTGATTTTCTGCATTTTCGCATCTGTAGCAAGCATTTTGATAGGAAAGGATGACAAATTCAAGAAAAGAAAAAAAACGCACTCAGTGTGCAAGGACCTCAAAATGGTTCTTAAAAAACCCTTTTGTAACTTTTTTTTAAAGAGTGTAACTAATAATAAATTGATTAAATAGAAATAATTGTATTTTAATTTATTACATGTATTTATTTTATTTCATTTATAAATAGCTATAAATAAAATAAGTAGTGCACTCAGCAGACATTAATGGTAACTAGTAAATTAACCGATTTAATGCAAGTAAAAATATTATTTAACATCAACCTAAATACATTAAATTATAACAACAAAACTTATATTGGTTACATCAGATAAAAATATCTATTTAAGGTGACATTTGCAGGTTATCACTTTTTACAGTGTAATAAACATCTAAAGCTGACTACAGAAAAATCCCATTGTAGACCATAACTTAAATACATTATATATATATATATATATATAATATATATATAATTCATGTTACATATTGATACTTCTCTAGTTCTAAAATTCATAGAGTTGATATAGTTTGTCTCTCTCTAACCTAACCGTTTTTTTGTTGTTGTTGAGAAAACACATTTCTGACTTATTTTTCCCAAACTGCAATAAATATATCCCATTGTGACTTACACAGTGAGACTGAGTGCATTAGCTGAATGATCTTGTTTCTCAATGCTATTAAACCAGATAATGTCTTTTCTATGTCTTTGGTGTTTTTATTGTCTCTCTCTGTATCTGTCTCACTCTCACTCTCCCTTCCTCTCTGTTTATAGTCGCTGTGAGAGTGTATAGATCTGAAGAGCCAGTCTACACAATGTGTTCAGTAAACTGTTTTGATGAATGAATGGAAAATGTTGGCTGGATTGCTTATTTTTATTAATGGGAATGTTTTATTTCTCTATCTATCTTTCTCACACATACAAATTCACACATAGACATACAGCCTTTTCTCTGTGACATTCACAACACATATGGCTGTGTGAATAGGCATAAATAACATAAGCAATGCTTTGTGAGTTCATGTGTTATGTTTGTGTTATGGTTAAGAGCAATGTTGAAATGAATATACAGACTTGACTTTGTGTTCTTAATGGATGGTGTTGTGTATAAGACTTAACTGTGACACCCAATGCAGAGAAAAGCAAGAATAAAGCGGAATTAGATGTTAACATATCCTTATTGTTGTGATTTCTGTGCTTATATGAACATGTTCCTCTTAAATGTTTCTAGGAACCTCATTAACAAAGTGTTTCTGTCAGTGAGGCTGTTATAAGCTTCTGATCTAACACATCATGAGCTATTCTCTGTTATTTTTACACAGAGAGATAAGGTAGACAAAGGAAGGAGGGACATTTTTGGGGCAATGCCTTATAATATATTTTTGAGCTATACGAGCTATACAGAGACATGGCTTTCTGGGACATGCAATCAAAGCACAGACATATTGTATCTAAAATTAAATGACCAGAAAACCAGGTTCTCATAATAAAATGTATATACATAAAAATACGTATATCATTGCAAGTCTTTTAACCCTTTAATGCATATGTGTTTCACCAATCATTAATATCATATATTTTGGGCAATATAAATTTTTTTTTTTTTTGTCATAGGCTAGAAATTAATACCTTCTTTTTTCATTTTTCATGATGCATGCAACTGCTTAAAAGTGACAGTAAAGACTTTTAAATTGTTACAAAAGATGCTAAAAATGCTATTCTTACGAACTTTTCTATTCATCAGAGAATCCTGAAAAAAATATGTATCACAGTTTTCAAAAAATTATTAAGCAGCACAACTGTTTTCAACATTCGTAATGATAAGAAATGGTTATTAAGCAGCAAATCAGTATATTAGAATGATTTCTGAAAGATCATGTGTCACTGAAGACTGGATTAATGGCTGCTGAAAATTCAGCTTTGCCATCACAGCAATAAGTTACATCTAAATGATATTAAAACTGGAAATAACTATTTTTAATTGTAATAAAATTCACAATATTTTATTGTATTTTACTGTATCTGATAAAATATTGTGATTTTTTATTACAATTAAAAAAAAATATATATATATATATATATTTATAATTAAAAATCTTGGTGAGAGAACATTATTTTGAATTTTGATTTTTTTTTTTTTATTAAATTGCATAATATTGTTTTATTTCACAAGGTTTTTATTTATTTATTTCATTTTTTGACATTTTTATTGTTCCGCTATTCATAATAATAAAGGTTAAGGTATACTAAGGGCTCTAAAACCACAAAGTGAATGTAGTAGAGGGGGTGAAATGGGGTCCCAGGTCACTCATAACCCTAAATATGCATCTATGTGCTATGTGCTCATATGCCAAACAATTGAATGAATGTGCAAACTCTAATGCACGAACACTAACACAGACCTACTGCAATGTCACGCACGTTGTGAATGATGCTTTACTGTAAATACAGTCCACAAAAGACTTGCTTCTGTGTGGCTTTGCCCTGGAATGTTTGATGTTACTTACATAAGCAATTTAGCTTTTCTTATTCTGCATGCTGGCGTGTAGGCGTATGTATTTACGTCGCATAAATTGCTGCTCCTTTGTTTTGGTCTACAATTTAGGTTGCATGTTTTTGCATGTGTGTGTGCGTGAATGTCATGGTCTTACGTCAGTAAAGCTTGCATGTTTATACTCCTTTCTTCCCCTGTGGTGAATGCTACAGCTTCTGTTCTCCATCTTTCTCCCTCTCTTTCCTCCATCGCCTTTAAAGGTTGTCACTGTTAGGTGAAGACAGATTTTTTCTCTGTCACACTTGCCGGGATTTGTTCACTTAGCTGTGACGCTGGAGAAATGCCATTGCCACGTGACCAGGACCACCTCACCTTTTTGTAACGCGCTATTGCTTTTTCTTAACACTATAAAACGAGTCCATAGATACACGTTGAGCGACTCTGAACGACTAGAAGCGTAAAACAATGGCCACTATGACTAGTTTGGATGCACCATTGGTTAAAGGTTTTCTAGTAATGGATCCATCTCCAGAAGAACTTCATTTCCTGGATGGCCTGTATTTTATTGTGAGGAACTAAGATTTTTGGGTGTTATGTCTTTAAAATTCAACCTTTGCTGGTGTTGTGACTATTTCTTCCTCGTCTTTTTTGTTACAGAATCGAGAGTTGAGACCTGAAGAGATTGATGGTAAGTTTTTCAATCTGTTGTTTTTAGATGATTCAAATTTAATAGTTTGTTTAAGTTCTTCAAACCTGTGTAAACTGAAACTACAATAATAAAAACATTCCTAGATTGTTTCATTATATTTACATTTACATTTAGTCATTTAGCAGACACTTTTCCTAAGCGACTTACAAATGAGGACAATAAAAGCAGTCAAAACTAACAAAAGAGCAACAATATATAAGTGCAAATGACAAATATCGGTTAGCCTAACGCAGTACACATAGCAAGGTATATATATATATATATATATATATATATATTATATCATTATATTATATTATATCATTAGATTAGAAATTCATAGTTCATTTAGCCTGTTTTTTATTACTGTGTGTTAACGTGTGTTCATGTGTTTGGTTTGTCTTGACGAGTGAAGAGTTACAAGATGCGTTTAAGGAGTTTGATAAAGATAAAGATGGCTTTATCAGCTGTAAAGACCTGGGGAACTGCATGAGAACGATGGGCTACATGCCCACCGAGATGGAACTAATAGAACTCAGCCAGCAAATCAACATGAACTGTAAGCTTCTGTGTGTGCACAGCCATTATCTTATCTGCCACGTCTTTTCATTACGAAATATTGACATCAGTTTGTTTTTCTTAGTAGGTGGCCATGTGGATTTCGAGGACTTTGTAGGGTTGATGGGACCTAAACTCCTAGCAGAGACAGCAGACATGATCGGCGTTAAAGAGCTGAGAAACGCCTTCAAAGAGGTGAGTGAAGAGTTAAAAAGATTGTAATGTAAAAATATAAAATAAATATATATTATGTATTCCAGTTTGACACAAATGGGGATGGAGAAATAAGCACAGGAGAGCTAAGGGAAGCTATGAGGAAGCTGCTGGGACAACAGGTTAGTGCTTTTGGTACATTTGTGCGAATATGCTTGAGGTGACATGAAAGTGACATTACTATTTTCTAAATGCATGTTATTGACCTCATTGTGAGCGATTCATCCATGAGTACATTTTTTACATTTCAGTCTCATGATGTTTAATCAAAGTGTTATGACTTTCGGTGAAATGACAGACTTTCCTCTGGTGACATGTGCAGGACTTCTCCAATCATTTTCTCCGCTTAAACATCGCCTCTTTTTTTTTTACAGTTGATTGGAAGCTTGCATTATGCTCTGCCTCCATCCAATCAACAACTTATGAATAAAACCAAGACACTGCCCTACATTATTTTTGATCATTTGATTCACTCAAATGTACGTCACAATACAGAAGAAAAGATCTATTTCACTGCAGCATTAAAGGGATAGTTCAACCAAAAATGAAACATCTGTAATTACTAAATGCCCTGATTTACTCACTCTGAAGTTCTGTTTTATTCTTCGTTTGGGAATAAAAAAAAATTCGAAATACACAAGCTGTTTACTGTTAACAAACATTCCAACACTACTCACCCAAGAGTGGCATTTAGATGAATATGTAAATGCACTTGATAATAAAATAAACAAACATGCCTGTGGTGGGAAAATAGCAGTTAAGAATGCATCTGATCAAAGCGATGTGGATATGTTTGTGTGTGTGTGTGTGTGTGTATGTATGTATAT